GTTTGCAGGGAAGATAAACACGAACCTAGTAGCTTTTCTTTTGCAGCTCCACTAAAATATTACATTAGACATTCAAAATCGTTGTAGACAAAATTAACATGGAATTTTGAAATGTCTTTCCCTTCTGTATTTTTGGGGTTAACGAAAAAATAAAACAAAACACGGAGACTGTGTACTGTGATAAGGATAAAGAAGGAGGTAGGGAGAGGCGCTGTGTGAACAGGGTCTTGGAGAAACTGTGAGGACAAGCATCTAGTACTTGGAAAGAACAAAACTCAGCATTTCAAAACACCTGGTATTTCAGACAGGAGGCCGGTCGGAACTCAAGGAAAAGCCTGTCTGGCTGTTTGAGTTCCCCACCCGAGTCAGACAAACAGGATGATCCATCATTCGCTGTAAATTAATTTATGAAATACTGGGACTGGAAACACGACTTTGGTGACGAGAAATGGAGAGCAGCAAGCCTGGACCCAAACGGACCCCGGATCACTTGATCAATACCATTCTCTGCTCAACGTCACTGCCCTGGGGAGAGCTGCAGGGGAGGGTAAGCAGACTGGCTGGCCTGCTCCAGGCTCCTGCTGCTTTGCCTCAGGTCCTGGTGTCTCCCACCAACTTCCCCAGGGCAGTGCCTGGGGACTCTGCACCCCGCTTCAAGGACGCAATTCTAGACTGCTGCTTCTCGGAACACTGCTTCAAAGACTCTGGAAAGCGACTAAGACAGGGACACACACACACACACACACACACACACACACACACACACACGTCAGCTCTAAGTTGGGTACACACACACACACACACACACACACACACACACACACCTGGCAGCTGGAGCTCACTTCAGGTAGCAGTCTCGCTGCCACTGCCTTTCTCTCCAAGGCAGTCACTTCCCAAGGGGCACTGAGACTCCCTTGCCCCCTGACATTCTTATTCCATCTTCGTATGCTTAGGGGTGGTAGGGATTATGGCTGATACCACCATTGGGATTTGCTTTTTCTTACTTCCCCTAATATGGTTTCTTATGACAACAGAAAAGTGTCGTGGTGTCCAGTGGTGAAGGTTAACAGCTGCCTATCATATAAGGTGAGGCAGAAGCTAGAGGTTATCAACGTCAGCCATGCACTATTAGGATCAACGCACAAGGCTGGTCAGGTGGTAACACAGGCGATTTAACTCACAAAAGGAGCCAGGGAAAGGCTGGTTTCTGCTGTGACATCGTTTCCACTGATCTCCCATCCCGGCCGCTATTCTCAGCCTTCCAGAGGAGCCAAACCTGCATCTGTGGCCGAGCAAAAGACCTGGGCTGAAGACAAAGGGGTCCATAGGGCAGCCCGGCATCTCTGCAAAGAGCTATGCCATCCGCCCCGGCTCCCAGGCAAGGCTGCAGCCTGCCTCCTGCAGCTCCCCCAAAGAGAAGACACCAAGCCAGATGCCTGCAGGAGGCAGGGCAAGGGACCTGCCAAAGAATCCTCAAGGGGAGGTATGTGAACACCTGTGTGTTCACGTCATACATGTGAATCTACAGCTACCTATTTATATATTTTGACCGTCTGATGAAGGGTGGGTGTGGGAAAAATGAAGAAACCATTTTCCAGCCTCTCAAACACGCTGGTCCTTCACCGACCATGGGCCCAAGACCACCAGGGAGCGGGGAGCCCATGGCTGCACGGATGATCCTATTATAACTGCACACCTTTCACTAAATTACACAGAAATCAGAGTTGAAAGTCCTTTAGTCTAAGGCAGTGGAGGCCCCGAAGGAAGGGCTCACTGCTCTTCGGCTTTGCTGTTTCGGAACTTGACCACCATGACGGTTATATTGTCAGGGCAGCCTCTGTAGAAGGACTGCAAAACGATGCTCTTGGCCCCAAAGTGAGGCTCATCCAAGCGCTCCTTGATGAATCGGACAGCTTCTTCATTGCTGAAAGCATCCCAGAGGCCGTCTGATGCCAAGATCATGAACTCGGGCTGGAGCTTGTCCAGGTCAAAGGTCAGGATATCCGGGTCAGGGATGACGACGTTGAGATTTTTCAGTGGATAATCCCCCAGGGACCGAGACATGGCCAGGATGCCCTGGACCCTCCAGGAGCCGTTAAAACTGATGAAACCACCTGGAAAGGCAGAAAGAGCCATTAGCAACATTAGCGGTGTCTCATAGGCCTGGGACTGTCTAGGGGTGTGCGCATCAGGCTGGCTGACTTAGGGTGTCCTCTCACTGCCGGTATTGAGCATCCTGCCTGCCGTGTGGTTTGCAGCTTGGCATGCTACCAATAGATTCTCAGGCCTGCATCCTTGACATCTTGGACACTCTCAAAAACACATAAATTAGAAACTTGGGGGTAGAGGCTGAGCATTGGGAGGACATCCGTTTCATTGAACAACTGGTTGGCCTCTCAGAGACTGACAGAGGGAAGGGGACACTGGGATGGAAATTCCATGAAAGTGGAAAAAGCAGGCTAAAGAGGCAGGCGGCGCCGGGGGTGGGGTGGGGGGCTGAGACACATACTGGTCTGTAACTTTAGTTGGAGACCACCCTAGGGTGTACCTATATAGAAACAGGATGAGGATGAAAGAAGAGCAGAATGTGAGCACCGTTTAAAAGCCCAGGCTCTGGGGAAACACTGCTTGGATTCAGTCCCTGACGCTGTCACTTCTAGCTATGTGTGACGGCGAATGAGAGACTCTCTCTTTTATCCTTGATTTTAGGGGAAATAGTAAGTACTCATCTTACTGGACGATTGCGAGAAATCAAAGGATCATTTCAGATCCATCATTTAGCACAATGGACAAACATAATACACATTCAGCAACAATCTATTATTATTTCTTTGAGGGAGAAAAACCTTTGTTCATCATATACTCATCCAATGCAAACTCATGGCATGCAAGGCAAATTGCAGACCATAAAGCTGACCCTTCTCTGTGTGGCAGGAGGACGAGGTCCCACACCCCCTGGCAGAATTCCCTGCGGAGGCACCGCTAAGTTACAGTCTCGGAAAACCCGAAGGGGTAGATGGGGCGGGGAGGGAGGGCTTCTAGTTAAGACGACTAGGGTGGAGTGACCACTAATGCTGGACCTTGAATAATGGGCAGACCTTCAATGGACAGGGAGACAGTGAGAACATTTCAAATGGATAGTGGACAAGGGTCAGATAGGCCTGGGTTTCAATTCTGGTCTTCCTCTGCACTCGCTGTGTGTCCACTGGGCAGGTAACTCCACCCCTTGGTGGCTGCAGGTCCTTGGCTATAAAGGAGGAAGGACAAAATTTACTTCCTACGGTAGGTAAAGGGATAGTGCACACAGGTCACACACTGGGTTGGCCTCTAGTACATCAGGAGCACAGAATGAATGGGAGATGGAATCAGTATTGTTGTGATTGGAGGCAGTGTAAGACACAGCATGCATTTGGCCCAAATGGGTTGCAGTTTATCATCATGCCAAGCAGGAAAGGGGATGTCCTGAAAGGAAAGTTGGGGTCACTGAAAACACATGTAGGTGAAAAACTGTGACTTGCTATAAAATAGCAATAGCCTTGACCAAATTCCACTAAAGAAGGCAGTAGGTTAATCCAATCTACTTTGGAGATATTATCCAAAGTTGCTTCTATAAAATATCACCGCTCTGGGGTGTGTGTGGGGGTGGGTGGTGGTGATGTTAGGGAAATAGTGGATACGGCAGGAAAGGGGAGGGATGATGCAGTAAGTGGCATTTCAGGAGTGAGCACCGGATGGATGGAGTACAGATAAGAAGTCTGGTGGCACAGCGGAGCCCTGGTGGGGTAGGTAGTGGGTCATGCATTTAGCTGCTCACTGCAAAGGCACTGGTTTGAAGTCATCAGTTGCTCTGCAGAAGACTGCAAAATGCCGCTGTTTACTCCGGCAAAGATTACAGTCTCAGAAACCAGAAGGGGCAGTTCTACTCTGTCCTAGAGGGTCACTATGAGTTGGGGATGGCAGTGGGTTTGACTGTGGGGTACACATCCTTCCTGGTATCCCCTTCCCTACTAGCACAGAAGTGCGATAGCTGTGTCGAATGGCTAGGGTTGCAGTAGTCTTTTAAGCAGAGATGCTACCTTCATGAGTACGGAAGCCACAATCTTTTGTTCTTCTACTGTCTGCTCATCAAAGCTTGAGACAGATTATTAAAGAGACTGGGTTCGTCCAACCCCCCCCCAATTCAAGTTTAGATGAGTTTGAGGAATTTCCCCAGGCCAACACATATGGGACTCAACCACAACCCACATCCAGTTGAAGTTTTAACTTGTTACTTTCAGTTTCCTTCCACACCATGCCCCAGCAAGACTACTGTGCTTTCCTCCCCTGTAAGCATGCGTGTTTTAGTTCCATATTCTTGCTCTGCAGCAGTCAACCTTTTGACCAGTTTAAACTAGTAATAGGAGCAGGTGCAGACCAGACACCTGTGACCTTGAGTTGTGATCAAGAACCAAGAAAACCAGGGCACAGGGTTTGAACCTGGGGAACTAGATGCCTGGTGCACACTAATCATCTTATAAGGGATAACACCTCACACAGAAACCTTTACCTTCAACTCCACTTTTGAATACCTTATTGCAAAAGCACCCACTTATGTGGGATCAATTCCCCGAATCTTCCACCTCTTTTCATGAACAAATATAAAGTCCTTGCCACCTTAAATTCCTTTAAAAATGTATCCTTCCCCCTTGTCTGGTGAGACTGTGGACTGCATTGCCTTAGAGCTCGTGCCACGTCGCCCCTTGCAAGGTCCGTTTCTCTCTAATAAATCCTTTTGCTTATGTGGTAAGGTGGGTTCCCTGCCTCGTAACCCTTAACTGGACAAGGGAAAGAACTCCATCTGTGGGGCACTCCTGCTACAAGCTTGATGGGTGCGCTTAAAGCATCACTTATTCCATCCCATTAACAGAAGACCCCACAAAAGCTTTCATTAAGAGTTATGCAGTGTACTCCCTCAACACAAGAATACTTTCTTCTATGAAATTGGCATTCTATGATGCTCACCTTCCTGATACAACCGCTGAAGACAAAGCGGGTAGTGAAGAAAGCTGATGGTGCCCGGCTATCAAAAGATATAGCGTCTGGGGTCTTAAAAGCTTGAAGGCAAACAAGCGGCCATCTAGCTCAGAAGCAACAAAGCCCACATGGAAGAAGCACACCAGCCTGTGCGATCACGAGGTGTTGAAGGGATCAGGTATCAGGCATCATCAGAACAAAAAAATCATATCATTGTGAATGAAGGGGGGAGTGCGTAGTGGAGACTCAAAGCCCATTTGTAGGCAAAAAAAAAAAAAAAAAGAGTTATGCAGTATCTCCAGCAGGCATGGAATCGGAGGTGGGGGGAGGGCAGGCAGTAATACAATTCCACGTTTTCTAACCCAACAGTTCCGCTTCCTCCTATGAAAGCTCAGGGGTTAATTAGTTGTAAGCACCAGTTGACCTGTAGAGACTGAGTCAGCCTGGCTGAGAGGCAGTGAGTGGGCACCTCCTGTCTGCGCCCTCAGTAGCTGGGCTAGCTGCCTGGTGATTACTCATAGAGCCTCCATGCTGCAGGGGGTAGTGTGAGAAGGGAAATAACTTCTCTCTTCCACAAGTACAAAGGATCCCCCCCTACACACAAATATAATTATTTGTCTCTCCACATTTATCATCTTCCAGCACACTATATAACTTACTATTTTTTATGTTCATGTCTGCTTGAGCTCCACACCCACCTTATAGCTCCAACCCCAGAATGTGAGATTGATGAGGCTTTTTTTATTTTCTTTTTTGGTGAGGACGTTGCTATATCCCCGACCTCTGGAATCTTGATGTAATGAATTAATAAGGGACCTCCCCTCTGTGATGCTGACTTAGATCAGGCACTGTGCTAGCTGCTAATGGAATGGAGATTTGATAAGATCTAGGTCTTGCCCTTACAGATCTCACAGACAGGCAGGAGAGAGAAGATACTGGGTATATCCATACATTATACAGGTGACACAAGTGGTGCCCACAGGATGCTGAGGAAGGACAGCGAAGGGCATCTAACCCAGGCTGGGGGAGGAGCATTGTAACAAGGAAGGCTTCCAAAAGGACACCTTTAAAGTGAATCTTAATCACCAGGTGTAGATGGGATCAGGTTTCAGGCATCAAAGACCCAGAACAAAATAACATATCAATGTGAATGAGGGGGAGTGCAGAGTGGAGGCCCAAAGCGCATCTGCAGACAATTGGACATCCCTTTACAGAAGGGTCACAAGGAAATGACGAGCCACTCAGGGTGCAGCATAGCACTGATGAAACATACAACTTTCCTCTAGTTCTTTAATGCTTCCTCCCCCCACTATCATGATCCCAATTCCAACTTACAAATCGGGCTAGACCAGAGCATGTACATGGGTACAGATAAGAGCTGGAAACACAGGGAATCCAGGACAGATAAACCCATCAGGACCAATAATGAGAGTAGCAATGCCAGGAGGGGAAGGGGAAGCTGTGGGGAGAAGAGGGGGGGCAATTACAATGATCTACATATAACCCCATCCCTGAGGGGGGGTGAGAGGCAGAAAAGTGGGTGAGAGGAGACATCTGTCAGTGTAAGATATGAAAAAATAATAATTTATAAATTATCAACGGTTCATGAGGGAGGGTGGGAGAGGGAGGGGGGAAATGAGGAGCAAGTAGAAAGAAAATGTTTTGAAAATGATGATGGCAACAAATGTACAAATGTGCTTGACACAATGTATGCATGTATGTATTGTGATAAGAACTGTATGAGCCCCCAATAAAATGATTAACAAATAATAATAAATAAATAAAGTGAATCTTAAAGGATACAAAATAGATATCCCTGCTGATGTACTGTTTTGTGTTATCTTCAGATAACACAATTTTACTTGAATTTGATTTTGCGTGATCATTTCCATTTGTTGTGAGGTTCATTTTCTTTGGAGGGAGCACAAACATAGATCTCTTTGTCTGCTGGCCTCATGGCTGTTTCCCACATATTGGGGCATACATAAGCGAGGGAGCCCTTCAAAAAGAAATGTTGCATCTGTTTGTGGAAAAACTTCCATACGTATTCGATCGTTGTTCACCAATGTCTTCAGTGCAGGTTGGACTTCTTCAACAGCATCTGTTCTTAACCATCTGCTTTCTCTCGAAATGGATGAAAGTTGGCCAAGTGAGGGAATAAGCTGTTTCCACAAACCGAGGCGACCCAGGAAAGTCTCACTTGTCTGTCAAGAAACTTGAAAGACCAACTTGACAGGAAGAGGTCCATCTGAATGCCCAATCCAAAAGATAGGTGACCCAGCAGAATGTGCACATTATTGAATGATATGATTAATAGGCGATGCAAATAAAATTAGGCTGAAGATAATTAAAAAATGGTTGTGGCGTGATGTCAACAAAGAACTGACATAATCCAAGCCAGCTTCAGAAGAGGCCCTGGAAGCAAGGCTAGCACTGTCGCTGTGACATGGGCCTTGGCTATGCACAGAGAGCATCAGAAACATGCTGGCTTGCATTTTATTGACTATGGAAAGACCGTCTACTGTGTGACTCATAACAATTTAGGGAATAACATTACAAAGAATGGGATTTCCAGAATGCTTAATTTTGCCTGTGTGTAACCTTTACCCAGACCAAACAGAACAAGGGGATCCAAATCAGGAAACAGGGTTGAAAGTAGAAAAAGGGTGTCGGTTGTATCCTTTCTTCATCTTGCTCCATCCGGATGCTGAACGTACGATCTAAGAAGCTGGACTGTGGGAAGAAGAACTGGGCATCAAGCTTGGAGGAAGACTTGCTAGCCTGCAATAGGCACGGACACAAGCGGACTTGAAGAGGGCTTGAAGGCCTTCCGATGAAGAGCAAAGACGACCGACTTCAGCATGGGATATACCTCAGAAAATGAAAACCCTCACCGCGGCACCAGCCAACATCATGAAAAACAGCAAAGAATGAAGTGGCCAAACACTTCCTTTGACTTGGATAAGTAATCAACACCCACGGAAGCGGCAGTCAAGAAACCGAAGGACATCCTGCAATGGGCAAATCTGCTGCAAAGGGCTTCTTCAAAGTGTTACAGTCTAAGGTGCGCTTGATGCCGGCCAACGGATTGCAATCATTTTACCAGGACACAAAAGTGGGGCGATGAATAAGAAAGTCCACAGAAGCATCGATGCCTTTAAATGACGGTATTGGCAAAGAATATTGAACAACCCTTGGATTGATGGGAAAATAAACACATCTATCTTGGAGGGAGTATAGTCAGACAGCGCCTTAGACTTCGTCTCACATACTGTGGACATATAATGAGGACCAGTCCCTGGAGAAGGACATTATGCTTGGTCAAGTAGAGGATCAGGGAGAAAAGGAAGACCCTCAACAAGGTGCATGGGCCCAGGGGCTGTGACAATGGGCTCAAACATAGAAAACATGTGACTAGACACAGGACTCAAGAGTGTGTTGTTTTGTTTCACCTGAGATTGTTGCTGGGAGTGGAACAACCACCTCGATTCTACCTAAGAACAGCAACAACGACAACAATAACGACGACAATGACTGTTACACACACACACACAATCAAACTTTGGGGACAAGGGAGTAGTTTGGCATGACTGGATGAAAGGGGACATACAATAGGCGGGGAAAGCAGGGCCCAATAATCTCAGCTGGAAAGTATTTCTTCAGCCCTTTGGAAGCTTTGATCATGAAGAAGGGCAAATTCAGTGGTCACTTATTTGATAGAAAAATGTTACTAAGTCTCGGCTACTTCAGCAGCAACCTCTGCATTGATCTCCTAATCTCTGAATAATCAAACCCTTTATTCCCCAGGAGCTCCTTCAGCAAGCCACGGTGTCTACCACACAAGATGGCAGCCATTCCACAGAGTGTACACCACTCACCAGCTCTCTTTATTCTCTTTCTTTCTTTCAGTTGATAAGGCTTATGATCGTGAGATAAAGGAATGGCATTCCCGTCCTTGTCACACAGGACCCCACGGGAGTCTCCCACGTTGGCCACAGTGAGGTCCTTATCTGATAGCAGAGCGATCAAGCACGTGGTCCCTGAAAAACAGAAGAGAGATGCAATATGGAGCTCAGCAATGTACTGAAGTTCAGATCTTTCGTGCCTTGACTGGATTCTTGGGTTCTTCAAACTACTCCTGCGGGGCGAGAATTGGACTCGAGCCGCTCTAGGAATGAGGGCCTTCACGTCAACAACGCTGATCAAATCTGATAGCTAATTTACTTACCCATGTTAGAGTGTCACTGAAATAGGCTAAGATCACATTATCATTTCCCCAAATCATTTTTGTCTGTGATACTCTCAATTTAAATGCCTATCATATGCAAAAGGATTAGGAAAGTGTCAAAATCAGTTTGAAACTTTAGACGATTGATATGTATTTCCTGCTTCTCATTGGCACTGACTTTTGGTGATTCTCCAGCAGCACATGCTCAGGAGAATGGGGACAAGGTGGGCTCCTCCACTGGAGAGTCTGGAAACTGACAGGCGCCACAGCCAACTGGTCCCCTTTGCTCAAGTTGACAGGAGATTATGTAGCTGCCGCACCCTCGCTCCTCATCCTGAAAGCAGAACATTAACCCAGGTGTTCCTTCCTCTCTCGAATTCCCCTCCTTTTCTGATTTAGTCATTTAGAAATATATCCCTTAACCTTTATCTCTGCTTAATACATTATGTTAGATCCCCATTAACTGTACCTGTTCTCCCTGCTGCTACATCGCCACTGCAGTGATTTGTTTTAAAACACAAATCTCATCATGTGAGTACCCTACTTTAAATGCTTCAGTGGTTCTTAATCATATATAAGGGTAAATTAAATACACACACACATACATACATTACATTAAATTAAATACACACACACATACATACATTTCATTACATGGGAGCTCAGTACAGCTAATAAATATGAGGGGGCTTCAAAAAGTTTGTGGAAAATCAGAATAAAAAGTTAACGGGATTATTTGTGAACTTTTGAAGCTCCCTAGTGCATGTAGAGTTAACTTTGGCTAGGAAAGTACAGTCAGAAATCACAGGTCTTTTTTTTTTTTCAGAAATCACAGGTCTTTTAAAAGGTCTAAACATCTTAATGTGGCATATATTCTCCCCACCTCCCCTCTTCTGCTGTCCTGTGGCCACATGGCTCTGCCCAGGATGGTGCTCCCATAGGGAACACAAACAGCTCCTTGCAATCTAATGGACGTGCCGCCTTAACATTATCTGCTATCAAAGTCCCGCTGGAACAAAACACTGCCTGGCTCTGCACCATCTCCACAATGTGTTGTAGTAGATTACACTGCTCTGACTCATAGTCTTCACTGGCTGACAGATGCAGGAGGCATCATGGCCAGAAATGAAACCCGAATCTCACACAGAAGAGAAGAATTCTACCACAGAATCAGCAATGCCTCTTTTAAGAGATCTCAAAAACAAACAAAACCCCCACAAAAAACAAAACAGAAAAAGCACTGCCATCTAGTCAAATCCAACTTATTGTGAGCCTATACGACAGGGTAGACCTGTCTCTATGAATTTCTGAGGCTTTGATTCTTTTTTTTTTTAGATCATTTTATTGAGGGCTCATACAACTCTTATCACAATCCATATATACATCCATTGTGTCAAGCACATTTGTACATTTGTTGCCATCATCCTTCTCAAAACATTTGCTTTCTACTTGAACCCTTGGTATCAGCTCATTT